ATAAAAGATGTAGCCAAATTATCAGCATCCGCTTTACGAGCTTGAGCCCGCGTCACTACACAAGTTGAAAATGTTTCTCGATATGACTGGGATAACTCATCAGGCTGTTCGAGCGCCACTGGTTTGTCGAAGACTTCCAGCAAAGGCATAATTTTTCCACCGGCTAAATCATTGCCCAAAATAATTTGTACCCCAATCACCGGTAAACGTTCACGAACAGCTAATTTCACAAAACCCGTACATAGTTCTGATTCTAAGTGAATCTGATGCAATGGAACTTGAACGAGACCCATCTCTATGCCCTGTACTAGAACATGACTGCCACAAAAAGTTTGCTCCGAGAACGGCAGTACATCAGCACTAATAAAGGACTGCATGGCCCCAGTATCACAGAGCATCTGAACTCTTACTCGTTCCTCAGAATTTCCCGCAACGGAAATTAACCCTTCCAACAGAAAAGGTACGTAACTGGAATCAGGCTTGTCGTTACACTCAGTTTTTTTAGAATCAATCCGTTTCACAAAACCAGCACTCTTAGGTACAGAACTTGACTGTTTTCGTTTCAGTACAAAACAATCGGCAATTAAATGGCCAGGTTTGTGACAATAAAAACATTCTCGATCTTCCTTTGATTTTGGAGTACCTGATTTTGGTCGAGATGGACTACTCGAGCTCACTTGAACAGCAGCTTTCTCAAAACGCGCAGCAGCAAACACATTTTTATGCGTCAATGAAAACTCATCTGCCAGAACGGAGGCTTGAGACAAAGACGTCACTTTTTGTTCATTCAAGTAAACGACAACACGTTCAGGAATACAATTCTTAAATTCTTCCAAAAGAATTAACTCCCGCACGTCTTTTAAATCATTCACTTTACTAGATGTACACCACTTGTCAAACAAAATGCCTTTCTCCCTTGCAAATTCAACAAAAGTCTGACTAGAATTTTTCTTATGACCCCTAAAACGCTGTCTATAAGCTTCAGGCACCAGCTCATATGCACGCAAAATCGCAGCTTTCACTACTTCATAATTCACGCTATCCGCTAAGGACAACGTAGCACAAACATCTTGAGCTTTACCGGTCAGCTTACACTGCAACAGCAAAGGCCAAACCTCTTTAGGCCAATGGAGTGTGGAAGCAATCCTCTCAAACACACTAAAATATGAGTCAACTTCTGTTTCTCGAAACTGCGGCACAAGGGAAATATGCTTACTGACCTCAAAGGTGGTTCTCACCGGCCCAGCCCCTGCCGAAGCATCAGCGGGCGGTAAAGGTTGCACAACTGGAACAGGTGTCACTTTGGCTGCATTCAATTCAAGTTCACGCAGCTTAATCTGCGTCTCCGCCTCGATTTCAAGTCTGCGGACTTCCAGTCGAAAATCCAAATCCGCTCGACGGACTTCTGCCCGTTCGCGTGTCTCCATCTGGAGTCGCGCTATACGAACCTTCAGTCGCGCATCACCTCCTATAGACTCAGCTGAGTCCGGCGAAAAAGGTTCGAAGGGCGGCAAAACAGCTTTGGCTTCAGAACCCTCTACCTCAGCCGTCTCGCTCTGCTCCTCCTCCTCAGGGCGACTATCAGCACCAGGAAAAACTTCCCCACCACCTGCAGGCAACACTAAAACACCAAGTTCAACCAACCTTTGGGATACAGCAAACTTAATCTCTTTTTTAAGCCGCTGCTTCGAAACAGTAACCTGAAAATGAGCAGCGATCCGCAGTAAATCATCTTTCCTACATTTATTTAACTGCTCAACCGTAGGTGCACTCAAAAAGGTGTCTAAATCAAAATCAGCCATTACTCTTATCAGAATCACTAACCATACAATCAACCAGCCCATCCACTAATCACTGCCTCGCGAAGGAATTACTCTACAAGGAAAGTACTGAACATGGTCACTCCACCACTCACATCAGCAGTAGATAATAACTCGGGAAACAATAAAAATATAAAGTTATCCCGGACGAGCCCCCATTAAATGTTACGATCTTTTAAAGTCTAGGAGATGTTACGCAACATTTGTTTTATTAGTACTGCTGATGGAGGAATACGGTGGAGAGAAAACCATGACAGACTCAACTTGAAGAGAAACAAACTGGATTTTATTGTCACAAAGCCGAAGCCACTAGTTCCAGTTTGGATGAAAAATGAGTGTGCTATTTACAATGTTTACAAATTTTACAATAATCAAATAATAAGAAAGAGAACCAAAAAGTGGCGCCAAAGAAAAGAACAGAATATAACAAAACAAGCCTTAACTAAACCTAAACCTAACCAAAGAAAAAGGTGAAAAGAAAACCGAATCTTCAGTGCATTCGGCACCTAAATAAGCTAACTATTAACAAAACATACACAGAGTGGCGCTCACTCCTAACCTAGTGTATCTAACAAATAAACACTACGGGCATTATGTATACCGCGGCATACTGACCTGTCGTTCTCTTTCCCAGAGAGAGAGTCGAATTACAGGACCCCACAGCGTCACACTGGGATACACATTGAAACTATGATCTCTACAACTAAAACATACTGAATATAAAGGTACATATAAACAAAGCATACAGCACCCAACTCATTCCACTACAAAGAGCCAGTCATCACTATATGAATCTCCAGTCACAGGTTTAGTAACCTCACAACGCTACACGAGCTCATGGCCGCTTCCGAGAGATCGAATGAATGAAAACGCCATCCTTTTGAACCCAGCTGGTCAACTCTGATTGGCTCCCGGGCGTCGCCCCAACGATGAGTGACGTCCCGCTAGGCCAATCACAGCAGCCTGCCAGCCAAGAGTGAGCTAGAAACAGAAACAGATAATGAGCATATACTATCAACACGTGCGAAGTATACCAGCGTGCACAGACTAGTGAAAACAAAACAAACCCCCACGTGGAACGTAACAATGTTGAAACACGTTTTTGAAATTTTGGAAACTTTTACTGATTAATATTTTTGTGGTAACCGTGATACTTTTCCCCCCACGATTCTTTGATGAATATAAAGTTCAAAAGAGCAGCAATATTTTGTAACCATGTTAGTGTATTTGCTGTCAACTTAATGCATCCTTGCTGGATAAGAGTATGAATATCTTTGGGGGGAAAAATCTTATTGACCCCCACATTTTTGAATGGTGTATATATATATAAACTTATATTGTTTGTTGCTACTTACGTTTATTACTTTTCAACCCAAAATGAAAATTCTGTCTTCATTGCTGTCCAAGCCTATATGACTCTTTCTTCTGCAAACCACACAATTTTGATTCATATTTTTGAACATTGACTCTCATAGCATGGACAAAAGAAAACAAAAACCAAATCTTTCTTTTAAGTTTCAAAAGAAAAAAGAAAGTCATACGGGTTCAAATGATATGGAGGTGCGTAAATGATGACGGAATTTTCATTTTCATTTCTATCCCTTTAAATCTTCAATACTGTGTTGCTACTACTACCCAACACATTGACTGGGGCAAGAACTTCGAAGCATTTACTAATTAGCATTAGTATTACTTTTGGTAATGTAGGGTATAATTTATTGTGAGAAAGATTTGTATCCATCAGTGTCATTAAGGGGATTCATTAAAGCAAAAGCCTTACAGAAAGGCATGAAGGAAGAAAGGAGGAGAATAAGATGCAGGAAGAAGGATAGGGCCGGAAAGAATGGAAGACGGAGAGAGAAAGGGAATCACAGAGATTAGTAATCATAAAGAAGGTGTCCCTGTCATGTCGTCCCCCCTCATCTCGTTAGCTAATGAACTCCGCTTACACGCTCTCTTGCACAGCCTCTGCTCAGCTGGCACAGTCTGAAGGCAGCCCCAGGGACCATAGCCCGTTCTAACATATGTTTCTAAGTGAATTACTTCTTATTACATCAACAGGTTGTGCACATTGCGGTGGACAGCATGTCAGGTCTTCATTTTACCCATGAGTACCTAATAGCAGACACTCAAAGTACACACATCCGCGCTTCCTACTGGATTTCAGAGGTTCAAATTTGACCCAGGGGACAAATAAGATCCATAAATTTTGTGATTTCAGCCCTTTTTAAAATTCATTGAGTTTCAGAGGCGGCCCAAATAAGGCCTATCATGCCAGTGCTTTAGTTTGATTGAATTTCTATACTGTGAATCGCTGAGGTCATATAGTATAGCTCTACGAGCTGATGTTGAGTGGACTATTGAGACTATATGGTAATGTAAATCCGTAGCCCGTGCAGCACACACCAGACTGCCTCGCAGAGACGGCCACGCAGCATCTTCGTGGCTGACAGACTTGAAAGATGGAAGCCGAAGGCAGCTTGTTTTCAATCCTACTTTGACGCTCCTATAAATATTACTCAGACAACAGAAAATCTATTTGCTGAAGGCCACATCCTTTAGATTTCTGTTTCTGACCTTGACACTTTTGACCCTTCAGGAAAAACAGAGTGTGTGAGCTCTGTTCCAAAATCTAGGGTGAAATCCGAACGGCGTTTTTGCGTCCTACGAGAAGGGGACACGACATGAAGGGTCACTCAAAAGTGAGCAGCTGAATGCTTTCTCAAGCATTTTCTTTTTCTTTTCACAAGACTGTTAGCTAAGGGTTCGATGTTCACTTTGAAGAAGTAATTTTGTCATTTATGATCACATGGTCCTAAATACATCACGTGTTGACGTGTATCATCACAATTTATTGTGAAAATGTAGGTACGTGTTTTTGTTTTTTTTGTTACCTAGTGCCACATGAAGAGAGTTCACTAATAGAAATAAATTGAAGACACAAAGAGGCAATATTTGACATAATATGTTGTTTTATATATTTTGAGCAACTATCTTCTTAGCATATTGCATTAGGTTTGTTAACACAATTGTTAATAGTTTTGTATTTGTTCTATTCTTTCTATACAAATTGCAATGTAAATATTATGGCTAATTTGGCTAAATGTTGTGGATGCGTTTTTATAATCATTTTGTTTAATAAAATGAACTGCTAATGGTTTCTCTTTGACTTTTCTACAGGACTACACATTGACCATGTATTTCCAGCAGTATTGGAGGGACAAGCGGCTAGCATATTCTGGAATCCCTCTCAATCTTACTCTAGACAACCGGGTAGCTGACCAACTCTGGGTTCCTGACACGTATTTCCTAAATGACAAGAAGTCTTTCGTCCACGGTGTCACGGTGAAGAACCGCATGATCCGCTTGCACCCAGATGGCACAGTTCTTTATGGATTAAGGTGAGAACTAACTGATCACATAACCAGGGCCTCAAACAGGATGTCATGTCATCTCTTGGAATATCTGAAGGCCAGGTTTTTCCTAATATCATTCAGTCATCATTAGAACACATTAGAACAAACTGATTGTTCAGTCAATAATTCAAGAAGGTCCAGGCTTTAAAGCTCTTGATTCTATGTTGTACTTCAAAATTCACCACAATAAATGCAATAAAACGTGATCAATCATGAATAGTTTAAAAAGCTTTCTAATTCATGTTGGTGCAATATGATGTTTTCTCCTCTTTTCGTCAGACTTTTTTAATTTATGTGGCTGTGTTTAGATCATGTTTGACTTTCTCCATAGCGTTTTCAAGTGGTAAATTCTCAATAGAATTATAATGGGTTGCACACTTTATAATCAGCTGTAATGTATATACACACAATATATGGTGATTCTCATGCCACTCATGCAAAATGATATAATTGGGCTTCAGTCATGTTGTGCAGATAATTGGTGCATTTAAGTTGTACGGGAACTTGGCGCTTAAAAAAGCTCAGAATGTGAGATGTATATAATGAATTAGTAGCCTGATTCTATGTTTCCATTAACCATAAATATTGGGAGGGTTTTACTTGCTAGTTTTGATTATTGGGGTAACCTTTCACATTGAGACTGCATGTGAAAATGAGCAAAATTGTTATTTTAGTATTGTTTGTCTTGGCTGTAAATTTCCATTTTGTTTTTAATTGTCAGGATTTGATCACTAGATATCAATAACCATCTTAAATAATAATAAAATGCTTAAAAAGTACTTTTTTATTTTTGGTAAAAATACAATTAATTTAACTATATTTTAATATATCAATTAACTTTTTTTTTTATCCAAAATGGCCATTCAAAATGTTTTTCACATACTACTTTTCACATAATTTGTTTGTATTTGACGTTTTATCTAATGAGGGAAGGGTATGACAGTATGTAGCTTCAGCGAACAAACAGATCATGAGAGCGTGCCCTTTTTTGGCCAGTGTACTCGTCAACTAAATTGCCTAAGTGCTAATGTGTGCCTTTATCTTGTTAAAACCCTTCAGTGTTATCAGAGTCTGATGAGCTGCATTGCTCTTTCCCCTGCGGAAGAGCAGGGGTATGCCTTCATCCTCTGTACCAGCTGGAGTGCACTATGAGCCAGTTACCGTAGCCTAATTTAGCTTTTCGTTTTGTTCCAAATGAGATCCTGTGGACTAATGCAGCCATATGCTAATGAATGGTTCTTGCTTATAAAGTTTATTGAACCATTTCCGTCCTTTTGTGATTTATCTCCTTGCGCTCAAATGTAACATCAGCAATCCATTGAACATCATTTTACAGTTCATCTAGGGAGTTCCCTGGCTATATAATGCACATTTTCTAGTTTGACGAAGCAATAGTGTGGATGGAGGGCTTTTATTTGTTTGCCTGAGTTGGGCGTCATTAAAGAAAGAAGAGCTTGCATATTTATGGTAAGGCATTTGAGTGTGCTCTCATTAAAACGACTCTGAAGATGGAATGAAGACACCGAGTTTCCTCTTTAATTTACCTCCTCTAGGAAGGAAGGACCTCTGAAACATAGTAACAACCCAATCTAAAGCAATGTTATATGCTCATATGTCAAAATACTTCAAAAAAAAAAAAAGTGGAATGACTGGTTTATTATGTTGTTGGAATATTTTACTGGAGGGATAAAAACGAGTAAACAATTTAATTTAATGTGTGAGAGAGTTATTTTAACTCTCAAACAATCTGTCCTGATTTTGTGAGCTAAAAAGTTCTGTTGTCCATTAACAATAGTGTAGCGATGCATAAAACACAGTTACAAAACTTTGGCACAGTTTTGCAGACAAAAAAGGTCTACTGTCTCTTGTCAATAGTGTAGCGATGAATAAACCAAACCAAGCTTTCTGTTGGTCAGTGCTTGAAGAGAAATCTGCCTGGGGAAATCTTACGCCCTCACCAAAATGCCCAGTCGCATGAATTCCTGTTGAAATGACTGAATGACTGATGATTTCGCCCTACAAAAATGTTATAAAAGAAATGAAACCTCCCTGCCATAGAGGACCTTAGTGAGACCCTGCATTTATCCAGATAAGATTAGAAGGATTGAACATGATCTTCCTCTTATGATATGCTTATTTCAATTGTTACCAGGAAGTTAAATCGATACCTGGACTGTATTGTTACCTGGACGAGAAACCAAACCTCACTTAAAATGTTCATGGATATTGATTCACAAAGAACATTTATCATCACATTTTAGTCTAAGCTCACACTTGTAGCAAAGTGACATGATGAATGGGGATATTTTATTAGATGAAATATGGGCTTTCCTTGAGCTTTCTTGGCAACTTGAAGTACCACTAATCAGTAGCCACTTTAATGGGACCAAAAAACGCATTTTCACATATTCAAGTCTGCACTATTTGTTCATGTCCACTAATGCATATGCATGCTCTGTTCTATATTTGGTTCAAAAGCCTTTTGAAGGGCAGGAGGAGCCATATTTTAATTTGTTCCATCTTGCTCGTCCTGTTTACAAAGATATACACAAAAGTTTTGCAGTGTTGTTGAGCAAGTGTGGTACCCACTATACTGTAGAAGAGCTGTGAGCACCTGAATGTATAGAATTGTGGCTTCGATTTTCCTGTAACGTGTGTGTGTTGTGAGCACCTGAATGTATAGAATTGTGGCTTCGATTTTCCTGTAACGTGTGTGTGTGTGTGTGTGTGTGTGTGTGTGTCTTTCTAGAATCACCACCACTGCCGCTTGCATGATGGATCTGAGAAGGTATCCATTAGATGAACAGAACTGCACTCTGGAGATAGAGAGTTGTAAGTGTTCTCTCTTTTCACTCATTTACACACACCCTGCTGCAAAGACCAGCATACATTACCATGCTGTTCCTAGCTGGTTTATACTAGTCAGTGCTAGTTTGGTGCTTTTCTCACTGGCGAGCAAGCATAGTCATTAATACAAATAAAATAGAATTTACAGTATTACCGAATATAATGTCGTATTTTTCTACTGTAGTGCCTAAAATTATAATAATAAATGTTTACCCTTTTACAATTTAACTTCTTTTCCAGTTTTGAAGAGAAAATATTGTCTGACCATATCCTTTATACCATATACTCTACCGTTTAAAAGTTTGGGGTCAGTAAGAATTTTGTATGTTTATTAAAGAAGTCTCTTCTGCTCATCAAGGCATTTATTTGATCAGAAATACAGTAAAACAGTACTATTGTGAAATATTATAACAAGTTAAAATAATAGTTTTCTTTTTGTAATATATTTTAACATGTAATTTATTCCTGTGATGGCAAAGCTAAGCATCATTACTCCAGTCTTCAATGTCACATGATCCTTCAAAAATCATTCTAATATGATGATTTGCTGCTCAAGAAACCTTTCTGTTAACTGAAAACACAAAAAAAGGGATATATTTTATTGTTTTATCCTTATTACTTATTTTTATGACACCTATAATTGTCAGTCAACTTCTTTTGACAGAAGCATTGTGTTTTGTTTATGCTCTTTAATCTGCATTAAATCTGCATTCTCTGGACCATCACTTTTATTTCCATCACTTCTTTAACATCTAATTATTCAGTTTAGTAACCAAACTTTAAGTGTATGCAGTGCTTCATGCACGCTAATAAAACCACCTAGCTCATTATGGTTTACAAACACAGCAACGCTGGTATGAAATGGAACGGTCTGTGTCACAGTGGGAAGTCTGACCCCTAACAGCTCCCTACACAGAACAGATGCTCATATTCATGATTATGCTAACAATGCACTTGTGCTGCCTTTTTTTTTCAGCATATGTTACACATACCAATTATGGAAAAGAAACGCTTTTTCCAGGGACTGCATCCTTATAATTGTAAATGAGGGAAATGTAGTTTTTTAAAAAGAACAAGCATTGTTTATTCAACATAATTTGGACAGAGATTCTGTGATTATTGAGATAAAGGAAAGGGACCAACATTCAGTTAAAGATCGATGTATAAAAATATAACAACATAATGTAATATATTAAGCTCAGTAAATCTCTCACTAAAACATGATATGTGATCTGATATTTACTTTGGTCCAGTAATTTATATTTTACTCCTTGACAAATTTGATTTATGTTTTTCCTGTAGATGGATACACAACAGATGACATCGAGTTTTACTGGAAGGGAGGAGACAACGCAGTTACTGGTGTGGCACGTATCGAGCTCCCACAGTTCTCCATCGTGGACTACAAACTTGTGTCTAGAAATGTTGTCTTTTCCACAGGTAAAGTAGAAAAACAGGTTGAAATTATACGCAGTAAGACTAAAACCCCTTTGTATAAAAGCATTTCTATTAAAAAACAAAACAAAAAAACAATTTGCACCAGATTTCCCTTTTAGTCTTGCTGTCTAGCTTTTTTCATCGTCTTTGAAGTTGACTATTATTTGTCCGCTTGCATGACCCTATGTTTACATCCTTGAGGTCATGAGTCATGACCCCTTAAGATGCAGATGGATTTTTGTTGTAAACTTCACCTTTATATTAATACAATAAGTTGATTCTCTTGTGCTTAAAATATTACAAAAAATGTCTAGAACATAACCTGAATACAAAAAGTTAACTCATCTACTCCTGTGCATCCCGGCAGGCATTTTATTGTGCTGCAAAATGTGGCTATGAGTGTAGCACTTATTTTTTATTATTTGTGCAAGGCAGGTTTCAGCATACTTGTTTGCATCAGGATAGTCAGTAAAGGGGTACCTGAATCATTTGTTATAGTTCTTGCTACATAGTCAATAACAATATAATTGATTAAATACTGAAATAGTGAAATGTGTTGTTTTACGAGTGTAATTCATGTAATTACGCAAGTGAGGAACTGTAAAGTTTAGATCTGAGATATGGGAGATTTCTAAATCTAAGGAAGTTTTCTACCAAAAGTCTGAAGTCTATCTGTATAAAGCATGCCATTAGTCTAGAATAACAGTGTTCGGGAAAAAAATTTTAACTCTGATCAAGATTTTTTTGTTTTTTAAATTTACAGCACAGAACAATGATGAACACTACATATCATTTTTTTCTTTTTCTTCTTCTTTTTTGGTAAAGTTTTCTCTGGTTTTCCTGTTTTCTGCCCGCACCCTCATGAGATTGATATTCCCATGTACCACTTATTTGAAAAGCTGCCTAATTGGGGCCTGTGCATCAAATATATTTCTTCCTCATGATAGAACAGACCAGTAATAATGAAGGAGCAATTACCACTCTATTTCCTCAAGCTTCTAAAGAAAAGAGCAGAGATGGAAGGGGGGAGAAAGTGAGAGATGGAGTCAGAGAGGGAAAAACAGCCACTTTATACAAACCATCACATATTCATGAGATAGAAGACCCATTGCATAAATTATTCTCTTCTAAAACTGAGGCATTCATAGAGGCAGCGTTGTAATGATTATTCCCCACCCTGAATTAATGATACATAGAAAGAGACTGGCTATCTTCTGCACATAGTGCAAAGGATTATGGGAATCATGAAGTTGCGATTGAAGAGGATGTGACTATATTGCTGATGCCATGATGAGCTTTTTCTAGGAGGGAAAAAAACACGTTGGGTCAAAATTGTGTATAGTAGAGGCTAACTGACCCAGGCTAACCAGCCAAACCTTGACCTTAAAGGGATAATTCTGTCATCAATTACTCACTCTCATGTCATTACAAACCCATAAGACTTTCGTGCATCTACAACACACAAATGAAGATATTTTTTATGAAATCTGAGAGATCTCTGTCCCTGAATATAGTCTTTTCATCCAAAACCCTTGACCGAGGCTTGACATTAACTTTTTTCCTCACCAGCCACTGTGGCTAATGGATTTCCAAAGTTACTAGCCAATCAGCATTTTAACTGGCCACAATTTTGACATCGATACCATGGGGGGGAAATTATGTGAAATTATGTGCAATACGCACAATCCCACGCCGAAATTCAAGCCCTGTAACGCCAACAATATTCATTGAGAGCAAATGAAATGAGTGAGTGAGGGGAGGCGGGTTTGTGTGTCAACTTGCTGTCAGAGAGATGAGAGATCGAGAAAAGCGCAACTGGTATCTGTGCATCTATGTGCATCTATTCTGCGGAAAATGAGTATTGGAAGCGTTTATAGATATTTCAGTGTCAATATGTATAGAAAAAATGCTATTTTGACAACACTATAAATTGCTCTTAGTTTATTATTTCAGATGTTTTTTTTAAAAGATTACACTTAAAAAATGTATATACTGTATATAAAATTCAACCTGCCTAAGTGGCTAGTAGGAGTGACTGTTACACGCCACTGCTGAAATCCACCCGCATTAGGCGCGTTGGCGGGTGTTAATGTCAAGCCCTGCCCTTTACGGATCAAAACGTTCATAAAGAGATTGTAAAATAAATCCATATGAATTGAGAGGTTTAATTAAAGTCTTCTGAAGAGCACGATCACTTTATATGAACAGATTTAATTTAGGCTTTTATAAACATTGATCAGCAAATGTACATAGAGCACTCAAGTATGGTAAACGTAAGCTCAACCGTACTTACTTGACGCACAAGAACAAACTTTCTTGGTTCTTGTTGAAGCTCAAAAATGCTGGCGTGACACAAAAGTTAACCTCATTGGTTCTCACACGTAAAACAAGCATGCTTGAGCATATAATCGTGTATACGTTCATGTGTATGTGGATAAAAGCCTAAATTAAATCTGTTCGTTTATTTAAAGCGATCGTGTCTTTTTAAAAGACTTGGATTAAAATCCTCGATTCATATGGATTTATTTTACGATACATTTTTGGAGTTCCCTTTCGAGGGAACTCTACACTGCGTCGAGAATCGACACTTTGGCGATGCTCCCTAAGCATGCGCCTCTGAAGTATGAATGAAACTAATCCAATCCTGATTGGTGTTGCGTCGTGACGTAACATGTGACGGCATACCCGGAAGTATAAAAGTGACGCTGTCACAACACACACTAGCTTTCGCTCTTCAGCAAGCGCTCTGTGTTGAAACTGTCTGTCTTATTTGGTGTTGTTTGTCAAACAGTTGATTCGGATATGGCCAGCGAACAATTTAAAAGATGTGTGCACCCTTACCTTCGTTTTATTACGGGTGGGGACACACATGCTTTGTGTGTGAATTGTTTGGGAGCGCAGCATGCACGAGCAGCTCTTGAGGGAGCTGCTTGTGCAGACTGTGATGCACTTCCCATTAGAGTGCTGCGCTCCCGGCTGGCGTGCTTTGATGAGCACGGTCAGGCTCGCGTTCCCCACGGTCGCGGCGATTGAGATCGTGGGGTTCGCAGCGGGATCTTGCAGATGAGAATGAGACTGCTGAGGCACTTTCCCATTCCTCGTCTGAGGATCCCGTAGCCCCTGAGAGTGGTGCAGGAGCCCGCATCGCGGCTTCTCCTGCCCACGATCAGGTCCCAATGCTTGAGCTCTCTGCTTCCGAGGAAGTAGATGTGCTCAGTATTGATGCGGATGACCGTGATTTGGGCGCGCCAGTTCACGGCCAAGGTTATGAGGAGCTGGTAGAGGTTGTGACTCGTGCTGTGGCCAGACTTAACATCAGCTGGCCACATGATGAGCAGGGAATGCAAGTGAAAAGTAAGCTTGATGAGCGTTTCCTGCAGCATTGGTAACAACCTCAGCGCCGGGGTTTGCCGTTTTTCCCCGATCTCCGCAAAGAGATCTCGAGATCGTGGGATAAACCGCACTCGTCCCGTGTCTCCAATCCCAGTATGGTGGATTACAGTAATGTTATGGGGGCACGGGACATGGGTTATGGGAAGATGCCTAAAGTGGAGGAGGCTCTAGCGAGTTATCTTTCCCCTGAGTCGGCATCTTCCCTAAAAACCCCGGCGCTGCCTAGTAAGCTCTGCAGAGATACATCTGCATTAATAGGCAGGGCTTACATGGCGGCAGGTCGGGCTGGTTCATGTCTGCACTCTATGGCTATCTTGCAGGCATACCAGGCCGACCTCCTGAAAGATTTAGACGAGGGGGAGGGGCCAACTCCTGAAGATATTTCAGAGTTTAGGAAAGCCACAGATCTGTCTCTCCGGGCCACAAAAGAGACGGCCCACGCCATTGGCCGCTCTATGGCAGCTATGGTGGCCACGGAGAGACATCTGTGGCTGAATCTATCTGGTATTAAGGAGAAAGATAGATCCTTTCTGCTGGATGCGCCGCTTTCGCCTTCTGGCCTGTTCGGCGACGCCGTTACTTCGGTCGTCGACAGGTAAAGAAACAATCTGCGGCATTCCAGCAGTACCTCCCCCGTAAGGCAAAGGCTAAATCGAGTAGGGTGGGGCCAAGAGATCCGCCCCAGCCGTCATCCAGCTCCTCACACCGGGCGACCTGAGGGACGTCATTCAGGCTAGGAGGGCTTCGGGGAAGAGGTCCTAACCGAAGTGTTAGGACCTCTGAGGGTTGTCCCCTCCGCTGCAGAGCAACCGAGGTTGGTCTCGCAGCGGAGCCCTCTAGGAAACGATGTATGTTGCCCGCCGTCAACGACGCTTCGGGCCAAATCTCTTTCCAGCAAAAATATTCTAACAAAGAAAAAGCATCAATTATGGTCACAAGAACCGTATCGACTACAGCCTGCCGGTATTCCGCTTCAGGGAGTCGAGAAAGATGCTCGAAAAACACCAGAGGCCAGTCTCGAGAGGCTGGTACCCATAGTAGATTTTGTAGAGGCATGGTATCATCTTCCCAACATATCTGCATGGGTCCTGCATATAATAGAATCAGGGTACAGACTGCAGTTCGCGCACTGCCCCCCCCCCCCCCCCCCCCAAGTTCTCTGGGGTGGTGCAGACTACAGTGGTTCCAGAGCAGGCTCAGGTGGTGGAACAAGAAGTACAGACTCTGCTGCTAAAGGAAGCCATAGAACGTGTTCATCCTTTAGACAGGGAGTCCGGGTTTTACAGCCGGTACTTTATAGTTCCAAAGAAGGATGGAGGGTTAAGGCCAATTCTAGATCTCAGGGTTTTGAACCGGTCTCTGAGGAGGTTCAGGTTCAAAATGTTAACCATTCCTGCAATCGTTAGTCAGATCAGATCCGAGGACTGGTTTGTCACGATAGATCTAAAGGACGCCTATTTTCACATCTCCATCCTTCCATGTCACAGGAGATACCTGAGGTTCGCTTTCGGGGGCGAAGCTTACCAATATCGGGTTCTTCCGTTCGGCCTAGCACTCTCTCCCCACACATTCACCAAATGTATGGATGTAGCTCTTGCTCCACTGGGACTTCAAGGCATTCGTATATATTGAATTATCTCGACGACTGGCTCATTCTGGCTCAGTCTCGAGAAATAGCAGTTCGGCATCGAGATGTTGTCCTTGGCCACATTCAGAAATTGGGGTTGAGACTCAATACAAAGAAGAGTGTGCTAGAACCATCCCAGTGCACGATGTTTTTGGGAGTCGTGTGGAACTCGATTACGATGCAGGCACGAATGTCTTCCGCACGTATCGAGTCAATTCTGGCGATGGTATCCAGGTTAAAGCTAGGCCAGGCCATCACTGTAAAGCAATTTCAAAGAATGCTGGGCCTCATGGCAGCGGCATCCAACATCATTCCTTTGGGCCTTCTACACATGAGGCCCCTTCAGTGGTGGTTAAAAACCAAGGGGTTTTCTCCCAAGGGGAATCCGTTTCGTATGATCAGAGTAACGCGCAGATGCCTTCGTTCTCTACAAATATGGAAGAAACCTTGGTTCCTATCCCAAGGGCCAGTGTTGGGAGTGTCATGTCACCGGAAAACCGTTTCGACAGACGCCTCCCTCACTGGCTGGGGCGCGGTCATGGACGGCCGCTTTGCCAGGGGTCTGTGGCAGGACCATCATCATTCTTGGCATATAAACTGCCTAGAGATAATGGCTGTGTTCAGGGCTTTGAGGAGCTTCCTCCCAGACATCAAAGGTTACCATGTCTTAGTACGATCAGACAATACGTCAGTGGTAGCCTATCTGAACCGACAAGGGGGACTCAGATCGCGCCCTCTGTGCAGACTGGCGCATCAGATTATTCTTTGGTCCCAGGGGAAAATACTGTCTATCAGAGCAATGTATATTCCGGGGGTTCAGAATCAGGGAGCAGACATCCTGTCGAGGCAGGGGCTGAGGCCCGGGGAATGGAGACTTCACCCAGAGGTGGTGAAGTTAATTTGGGAGAGGTTTGGACCGATGGAAGTGGATCTATTTGCGTCTCGAGTGACGTCCCACTGTCCACTTTGGTTCTCCCTCTCACATTCAGCCCCACTGGGGTTGGATGCCATGGTACAGGCCTGGCCGAGGCTTCGCCTGTACGCATTTCCCCCGATCGCTCTGCTTCCGGGAGTCCTGGAGAGGGTCCGTCAAGAGGGCATCAGTCTACTTCTGGTTGCCCCAATGTGGCCGACCCGAGTATGTTTTTCAGACATAATATCACTCCTGATAGCTCCGCCATGGCAGATTCCTCTGAGGAGGGATCTGTTGTCTCAGGCGGAGGGCACAATCTTCCACCCTCACCCAGAGCTGTGGAAGCTGTGGGTCTGGCCTCTGAGGGGGTTCAGTACCTAAATGCTGGTCTATCAGCCGGGGTGGTTGAAACCATACTTAGCTCTAGGGCTCCGTCTACTAGGAGATTATATGGCCTCAAGTGGAATGTGTTTGTCACTTGGTGTAGAGAACATGAGTTAGATCCAGTCAACTGCCCGGTGGCTTCAGTTCTGGAATTTCTTCAAGATCGTTTCTCTGCGGGTCTCTCCCCTTCCACGCTTAAGGTATACGTGGCTGCCATTGCGGCTTTCCACTCACCTTTAAGTGATGGGCCTCTGGGGAGGCTCCAGTTGGTCATTCGTTTTCTCCGTGGTACTCAGAGGATGAGACCGGCAACCAGGTCCAGGGTTCCTGCCTGGGACCTGGCAATAGTTCTTGAAGGGTTATCCCTGGCCCCCTCCGAACCTTTGCAGTCGGCTTCGCCTAAGGACTTAACGCTAAAAGTGGTATTTCTCTTGGCTATTACCTCACTTAAGAGGGTGGGAGATCTCCAAGCCCTGGCAGTGACACCAGCTTGCTTGGAGTTTGCCCCTGGCAGAGTGAAGGCCTTTTTGCACCCGAGTCCGGGCTACGTGCCTAAAGTTCCATCTAATACGGCTCGATCTACAGTCCTTCAGGCATTTCATCCTCCACCTCATGTGTCGGCAGAAGAAGAGAAGCTTCATTTGCTCTGCCCCGTCAGAGCTTTGAGCGTGTACCTTGAGAGGTCCTCTTCTTGAAGAAGGTCGGACCAATTATTAGTATGTTTTGGGTCACCTAAGAAGGGGCTCCCGGCATCCAAGCAAACTATTAGTAATTGGATTGTTCAGGCTATTACTGAGGCTTACAAGGTGCGCGACTTGCCTTCACCTTTAGCCGTGAGGGCTCACTCAACTAGAGGCATGGCTTCTTCTAGGGCCCTTCTTTCGAGAGTACCTCTACAGGAGATCTGTGAGGCAGCCGGTTGGGCTACTCCACATACTTTTATTAGGTTCTACAGTCTCCACCTTCCTAGTACGCCTGGCGCACACGTGCTCAGTCCTTGTTGAGTGCCTAAACAGTTTCACTCCGGGACAGGCCTATTCGGTGCGTGGCCTAGTGGGCACTCGTTCCCCAAAGTGTAGATTCTCGACGCAGTGTAGAGTTCCCTCGAAAGGGAACGTCTCGGGTTATGACTATAACCCTTGTTCCCTGAGAAGGGAACGAGACACTGCGTTCTGCCACGCCCCTTGAGGCCTTGGAGCGTCTCGCTTCATCGCGAGGCTAGTGTGTGTTGTGACAGCGTCACTTTTATACTTCCGGGTATGCCGTCACATGTTACGTCACGACACAACACCAATCAGGATTGGATTAGTTTCATTCATACTTCAGAGGCGCATGCTTAGGGAGCGTCCCCAAAGTGTCGATTCTCGACGCAGTGTCTCGTTCCCTTCTCAGGGAACAAGGGTTATAATCATAACCCGAGACGTTTTAGGTGAATAAAAATCTCTCATATTTCATTAAAAATATCTTTATTTGTGTTCCGAAGATGAACAGAAGTCTTACGGGTTTGGAACAACATGAGAGTGAGTAATTTTTAAAGTGAACTAACACTTTAACATATCCATCTTAACACAGTAACATTAACATTAACCAACAGTGTGAGTTTAGGGGCTGGACTATCTGTTTCTCTGACCAATATAAGATGAGAGGGATGTTATATAGATGTTGATGTTTGTACATATCTCATGTACAAACAAAACCTTTCCACACAGATCACACAAGTAATTAGTCTGAAGTGTGTAGGTAGTTCATCACGTAGGTTACTTATTTTTATAGACTGTAATGTGAGCACAGGTTGCATAATGTGCATCTGTAGGTTGTGTTATATGTGTGTAGGATGTGCGATTTATTCATAGGTTGTATGCATGTTTGGGTGTGTATGTGTATCTAGGCTTAATGCTTGGTTATTTGCATTTTTTTCATCTCCCTAAATAGCTACGCAGAGATGCATAGTTCAGATCACTCTTGCTTAATTTTGCATCATGTCAGTATTATAAGGCAACATTTCACCATGACATGCTTTAAGAATTAAAGCACAGCTCACACAGAAGTTACTTTTAAACCAAGGAGCAGTCTGTGAGGTTTCCATTGCAAACTGCGTGGGGAAAGTTCTCAATAGTGTGGGTTTCTATTGAAATTACTGGATTTTGTCCACGAAAATTCACTAAACAACTGTAAATGTGACCGCACCTGAAGTAAATATCTTGACAAGCAAATTTTCCTGGCCTGTCTTGGGGCTTGGGCCGAAAATGCCATTGAATATTACAAAAAAACTCCTGAAATTCTAAATATGAGGGCAAAGTTGCCTTTGTATGAAGGTTTTATTTTCTATTTGTTGATTTTAATTTTATCTGTAAGCGTAAAAGATAGTTTGTGTTTATATATTGATATGACATTTTTTTGATTATTTGAAGTATGAATCGAATTGAATATGAACATGTTTGACAGATGATATAAGTAGTTAGAATAAATATGCCCTTATAAAAACAAAATCAATTCCGTGGGGTGAATATTGCCTCTTAAATAAAATCTGTGTTGACATATTTCTATTTTAAGCGGGAAGTTTGGACAGGATATTATTCTGGAGTAGGGCGCAGTACATTCTCTATTGAGAGAGCATTTGATTGGACAAAATTCTGTGTAGTTAATAATGTTTTTTTTTTTTTTTACGTTTTTTTATTGTAGAAGGCTTCAGAAGTTCTGAACCAGAACTAACAGACTTGGACTACAGGCCATAATAGTCCAGTTTTGATTTCATAAGGGGCTTTAACATTTAAAATTTACTCACTATTTCATTCTCTTTTTTGTCTCCTTTCACACTGTGGTGTTTGTGCTCAAGGCTAAGCTGCAACAAATCACGCTTTTTGTTTTTTGTCCACGCTTGCTTGTTGCCATAGCAACAAAAGCTACCCGTGCTGCCAATGCTACTGATGTAAAATGTAAAGAATTGCTCCAAAGCTCTTTGAAATAAATATCCATCTTCTCTCACTCTTGTGTCTCCCTATTTACTTTTTTCCTCAGTCTTTGCTTCTCTTTCTTTTTCGTTCTCTTAAACTATCTTTCTCATTTCTTTTGCAGGTGCCTATCCTCGACTATCTTTGAGCTTCAAGCTAAAAAGAAACATCGGCTACTTCATCCTGCAGACCTACATGCCCTCAATCCTGATCACCATCCTGTCCTGGGTCTCCTTCTGGATCAACTATGATGCCTCAGCAGCCAGAGTGGCATTAGGTATGCTATTTATTCATTAGCATGTCCTGTATGCATCTGACAGGATGTATGTCCTCTGTCGTTTCCACTCTGGAAGTGCATGCTTTATTTAACAGCACATTGTTGGATGTTCCAATAACTAGAACACCAACATTCAGTATTCTCTTTGAATTGTAACTTTTTCTATACACACTCCAGGTCTCCTCAGAGTCCTCACCCTCCCTTTGGTTTACTTTTACTTGGATCTTGCCTCCAGACAAACACTGGCACACACATATACACCAGCTCAGACACATACACAGACAGATATTGTAGGGGTGCATGCATCATTTAACAAGGAACAGGGTAGACCCAGGTAGCCACAAACCCATTGCTTCGACACACTACAGTGACTGCTCACAGAGAGAGACAGTTCTCAGTGTGTGTCTTCGCTCTGATGTTGTTATTCCAGAATGAGGAGTGACACAGTTTGCCCGAAAAGCTACAGAATCTCTCCAGCTGCAGTGATTCGCAGGACACAAAAGCTGTGTTTCAAAACCCAGCATAAACAGTCGTTTAAGGCATCTCATAAGCATTCTCCCATTCCGAAATCTTGTCCAAATGTTAAGGAATCTTTTTGCAAAAACCTGAATTTACTGTTTACATTTATGTAGTATAAAATATTTGTGCCATGTATTTTTTATACTTGATAGAGTAGCAATTGTGTGTCAAGTCTTCTGTGCGCTTCATGTAAGGAGTGCTTTATGTGTGACTACTATATTTTTTATATATTTTTTTTTATATTTATTCAAGCTACTTTTTGAGTTGCAAAATAATATTGTAATAATTTTTCAGTAGTTTTGAAAAGTAATAATATCCATTTTTATATATAGAATTATATACAAGTTTGGGGTCATTACGTTTTTTATTATTTATTTAGAAATTAAAGTTCAGCAAGAATGGATTAAATTGATCAAAAGCGGCAGTAAAGACTTTTACATTGTCATAAAAATTGCTGATGCTATTCATCAAAGAATCCTGAAAAAAATGTATCACGTTTCCACAAAAATATTGAGCAGCACGACTGTTTTCAACATTAATATTAATATTTTAAAATATTCCTTGATTACCAAAACAGCATATTAGATTGATTTCAGAAGGATCATGTGGAACTGAAGACTGGATTAATGCAAAATTCAGCATTTCCATCACAGGAATACATTTCATTTTAAAATGTATGAATATAGAAACTAATTTAAATTGTAATAATATTTTTAAAAATCGTACCAATCCCTACTTTTGAACGGTATATATAGTATAATTTAATAATAGCATATGTATCGCTGTAATTTGCCACACTATTAAAATAGCTTTTATGTAGTTGACTACTTTTTATTATTTGCTTGTAGTATTGCTTACTACCTTTTACCAGAAGTTATAGCTGAACTACTTTAAGCAGCTTGTTCCATTTCAGTCAGGATGCTGCCCAGAAGACAGCAGGGCAGCTCACTTGGTTGTGAAACAAAGCTACTGTGAGCGCCTTTTAAACCAAATTTCAGTCTCACTGCCTCCAGCTTACTCACTGCCTTTGTGGACACCAGACTAGGGGCGAATGAGCTCAGATTTATAAAAGCTTCTACTGTAGAGTCTTTTATGGATGTACCAAATTATCATCTGTGCATTTTTAAATCACAGAGATAGATCACAGAGTGCAGTACAATATCTTTGTAATTACATGTTTAATGTGCGTGAGAGTGTGTTTGTTCATGCACCCAGGTGCAGCTCTTTGAGATGGATGTGATATGTTGGATATGGGCCTTCTTTAGGGAAATTGTCCTCATTAACCATGTTAAGCGGAGAAATGAGAACACTTTACACTGGGAGGGAAGAGTCTCCTGGGTCCCCCACACATATACCACCCATCTCACCTGCCTCTACGCATCATTATAAGCCCCCCCCCCCCATCCCGTCTATCTATTTTGTATCTCTCTCTCTCTCTCTTTTTTTCTTCTTTTCTTTGTCTTTTTCTGCTGTCCTCCCACAGCCAGGCAGCCAAATGAAAACAAAGGGATCAATGTAGCTAGAAAACAATTACATTTAACTTCCATTTCAATCCCAAGGCATGCTGCAGGCTGCAGCACAGATGAATCTCTGGCTTAAATGCCTCTGTCTCGCCACTTCCCACTGCCTCGCTGACTCCATCCATTCTCTGCATCCACATCCGGCCGGCCCCGGCCTTATATCTCGCACTGCATTACTGCAGCACACTTAAGGACCTCCTTTCATTTCAGAAAGGAAGTTATCAAATGATGCAAGAAGCAAACATATTGAATGAAGTGGATGATATTTCAATGATGTCTTCCGATTGTTTTGCTGACGTGAACAGGCGTGTAGATCTTTTCTGGGGAGATTATTGTAAGATCTCAAGATGGGTTAATGACTAAAGCACATTGTGAGTTACATTTATAATACTTTTGCATTGAGTCTGGCTCCATTCTGGCATGTAACAGCTGCTTATTATGATTAATTCAATTCCCATTTGATAAAATCATGTCCCATCCTTCCTTTTCCTTGTTAAAAAAGGACATGCAATGGAGATTTTACCAAGATGGCTACTGAGTTTACTGGCTTGCCTTAAAGGAATAGTTGAAAGTTCTGTCATCAGCCTATAAGCCTATGTGACCTTTTTATGCACGGAACACAAAATGAGAATTTTCAATGCAGTTACAAAGAATGGATCATTTACAATGAATATAATTAAAAAGAACCCAAATGTGCCATAAAAATATCCAACACATTCTCATCCTTTGGCGTCATATAGGTGACGCCATATGACATTTCGTCGAAATCTTACGCACATGGCATCCTTTAGCGTCAATATAACACGCACTGTTATGGGTAGGTTTTGGTCTGGGGTAGGGTACGGTTATGACGCCTTGGGATCTTCGTCTCATATTGACGCTAAAGGATGCCATATGCGTCGGATTTAGACGAGCGTCACCTGTATGACGCCTTGGGTTCTGCGTCTCATATTGACGCTAAAGGATGCCATGTGCGTAAGATTTCGACGAAATCCCCAAAGCGTCACATGTATGACGCCTTGGGATGAGAACGGGCTGAAATATCATACCAGATCATATCATATCAGATCTATTCTGAAATCGTACTATAGATTTATGTGGTGAAGTCAGGTTCTTAAACAAACCACTCAGAAAGGTATTTGCACTTTATCAACAGATTGACTGAACAGATTGGGCTAATTTATGTGTTGCTACTTCTCATGAAAACACCTGTGAACGCCAGGGCTGGTGTCAAGATTTAACATAAACATAATATAGAAGTCATTTTAGCCACTTTTATAATGATATTTTTGGGATATTCACCATCTTCACTTTCATTATATTGAAAAGAGTGGCCATGATGTTCTTCAAAAATTCACCTTTTGTACAACAGAAGCCATAATGTACTGGTTTGGCACATAAAAAGATAAAGTTTTCATTTTTGGGTGAACTATTTCTTTAAAGGAACTTTGACTAAACGCATTTGGCCAAAGTGCTTGAACGAACTCTGATATAGATCTTGAGTGTTTGCCGATGTTGTGCGTTTCACTTTCAAAAGTCTAACTCAAAAGAACGACATCCCACACTATTCACTGCAGACAGGTCTGTGTGAAGGTATGTTTGTTCTGGTTAGGTAACTCCTCTGCGCTGAACTCTCTGTACTGAGCTGAGTTTGATCCTCCCTTGCTGTGACCTGGTCATGCACAAATCAATGCAATGTGCTCCGTGTGCAGCCCTCTCTTCTTCGCACCAGAATGCTGCTTTTGAGTTTATGTAAGCTAGGACAGGCATCCATCTGCCCACACATGTCCTCTCTCACTCTGGGGACTCAGGCCTTTACAGTGAATACACAGTAGGAGTGAAGTGCCAACCATTTTCTTTGATCTCTATGGTTGTTAAATTGTATTCTACATTCTAATATTCAACCCTAGTAATAAAGCTTGTGAATAAAAGGTCTGAAAGACTAGACATGCTAATTTTAGTTGAACTTGTCCAGTTCTATGACAGCTCACATTTTCCCAGGCAAATTGTTGATGCTCTGTACACTTAATTCTGTAAGCTTATGAATTTATGACAGACCGGTCATTTAATACAGAGCAGCTATTCCCAACCAATCAGTACCAATTCTTCAGCAGTAGGTAATGTACAATTATTTTATTCAAATAAAATAATAAATAATAATAAATAAATAAAAATTGTATTATACTTTATTTGTTTGATTGTTCATTTATTCTTTTATGGGTCAGTAAAATTTGTTTTAATTCAGCAACGATGCATTAAATTGACATCAAAGATATGTACAATAAAACAAAATTACCACAAATAAAGATTGATTCATCAAAGAATCCTCAAAATATGACACTAAAGACCGAAAATTCTGCTTCATCGTAATAGGAATGAATTCCATTTTAAAATATATTAAAATAGAAAAACGTTATTTTAAATTGTAATATGTCACAATATTACTGTTTTTACGGTTTAAAAAAATGTAGCGTTTGAGCATAAGAGACTTCTTTAAAAAAAATATATATATATATAAATATGAAAGTCTTTTGTGTAGTTACATTAACACATTCAACTAATTTATAAACCAATATAGCAAAACAAGCTGTGTATAAAATGTTTAGATGAATAGATGTACAGTATGTAGCCTATATAAAGACATCAGACAAATTTAGTGCAAACTCGACTAATGATGCTATAGGCCTATTGATATCCACTGCAATGAAAAATGTACCAATTCCTTTTTTTCTTCTTTTGGTCGATGAGGGACTACTTGAGACTTACTGATGGGGCTGTGGGGATACATAAAACGAAATAGGTTGGGGAACACTGCTAGAATATGCATAATGTCTGTCAAAATCCATGAAAAGAATGTTCACCTCGTAATCCTGAACAGAAATCACTTTATTCATTGGAAAACCTGTTCACTGCAGCATTAGGGTGAACACTAAATTATTAAAGCCATTTAAATAGTCAAGAGACAGGAGAAAATAAGAAAAGCATGTCGATTCTTTTAAAATACACTGTCTGAGATGTTCTGGGCAGTCAAAGTCACGGTCGCAAAGTGCCTGGATTGTAATTCCCAGAATTGTGCTAAATGTAACTTTAAATGTTAATGTGATGCTGCTCAGGGTAGAAACTAGGACGTGGCTGCTTTGCAGTCAGTCGACAAGACCCTTTTCTCGTTAACGAGGTAAAGGCATTCCTTAGGGATTGTGAATGTGACGGAGACTAGGCCCCCTGTAAAGCACACTGCCCTGCACTAATTACACTTTAATTAGAGGAAAAACCCAAAGTAACAGTGTATAACTTTTGTGCTCGAGATCTAAGCTAAGATCTGGCTTGTCATAGTCTGGATGGACTCTCATCACTTTCTCTGTGGAGAGATCTTCAAGTAGTTTTGCTATGTGATTTGGGACAGAAGTTGGCAGTTTGTTTGAGAAATTAGCTCATCTAGGATGAAGTCTTGCTGTGTTTGTTGTGGAAGAGGTTGGTTCTTTGCAGGGCAACAGAAATATTGACAGTTCCATTTCTTGCTCCAGTCAGGCATATTCACACTTTAGTCCCACCACGGCTACAGCAGAGTCAGCAACACACATACTGATTTGAGTGGCAACGTTAACCGGGAGCCGATGTTCGTAAAGCAGATTTATGTCTATTTGCAGAAAGGTAAAACTACAAAATGCAGAGCAGAGGCTGAAAAAAAATCCCCACAAGTTTTAAAGGGATAGTTCATCTAAAAATGTTTTAATTCTGTCACTCTCATTGTTCCAAACCTGAGTTACTTACTTTTTCAGATCACAAAAAAATATATTTTGATTAATTTTGGGGTCCAAACAGCTCCGAAACTTATTTGATTGTTTGGAAAAAAAGACGGGGTTTTTTTCTCCTTTTATCCTCAAATATGTCTTTGACGTTGTTTGCACACTGACAGTGATTTTTTTTTTTTTTCTACATCAAGGCTATTCATAAGGAAAAATCTCCTTGAAAGCAGCGATAAGTTACATCAAGATACAGTATGTCGCAACTAGGCTCACTTTCAGACGGCACGTCCTCAGACCGCCCACAGTCTGTTCGCTGACCATCTGACTGATACATATTGCTCAAAAAACTGGAAAGCACTTTCTCAATCTGGCAAGTTCCAATCTGATTGGCTGACTTCACACAAATTGTGGGGGTGCAAGCTTACAGGGATTATCAGTCTGCCTGGAAAGTCATGTTTACATGTTAAATTTACTGTTGAATGTAATTTTTTAGTATTATTTTTCTTTATTCATTTTCATAATAATTTCATAATGTATTTTATGAGTCAGAGTATGTTGTACATGAGTGCTGAGCAGAGAGCTGGGAGAGTTATATATTTTGCATATAGGTTTGTGTGCAATGCAATGTTCACTGAGCAGAGATGTTCCACTAATGATGATACTTCAGTTGGCATGTTCTTTACAAGAAAAGAAGTGTTTCAGCTGATGCAAATGTACCACTAATGTATACACAGAGGGAAAGTGGATTGTACCATGTGTAAGCATGAGGTATATGTTCCATTTTTAAACATAAGCAACATGTTTTTCTACCTTACAAGGAAGTTGTACGTCCCAGAGTGGGGTATATAAGCTCAATTCTTACTGTACCAACTCAGAGAAACATAAAGGCATGAGGGGGTGAGGGAGGAGAAACGCAGAGAAACCATTTACAGCTGCACGATGGGCTGAGGGAAAAGAGAAATGGGGAACAGAGAAATCTGGAATGAAGACCTCCTCACCTGTAGCCTTATTCTTCTATGCCTGTTTCTCTCTGTCTGATACATGTACATTAAATAATGCATAATAGAGATAATAGATAAATAAATAATAGAGATCTCTTGGCAAAGTAACTGGTGTAGCTTCCGTGATTCAACAATAAAGTTAAATTGTGTACTATGGAAGCTTGTTTAAATAAATAAAACATTTTAAAAGATAATTGCGACTTTATATCTCGTAATTATGAGAAATAAAGTCAGAATTGCAAGATATAAACTCACAATTGCGTGTAATAAATCTCGAGTTAATAACTCGCAATTCTGACTTTATAACACCCAATTGCCTATACACATTTTTTGCTGTTTTTAGTGTCTCCACAAACATTTTATAACTACATCCTTTTTCATGCCAGTTTATTATTGTGGTATAGTCTATTTCAGACAAAAACAACAACAAAAAACTCTTATCCACGACCATCATTTCCCAAAATTCACTACACATGGATGCCATCACTTGAGAGAACTCTGAATAATGGCAGATTGCTGGTGTTTGGAAGAAGTTTGCAAAAATAATGGAGATATTTTATAGAGTAGGAGTTTGAACAGTATATTTGAGTTATCTTCTACGTGTGTGTGCTTGTTTGTACATATTTGAGTGGGTGTTTGAGCAGTTGGAGTATCGCTCCTCTTTGAACTGGCAGTGATACTGACTCAGGATTGACTCACAGAATAAACAGAATAGAGTATCACAGCATAGAATCAATAAAATGCATAGAAAATAGAAAAAAAATGCTATTGACTTTTCTATTTATATAATATAGTCTATAATAGAAGACATTCTTTTAAATATGAATAGCATGTGAGAAAGGGAGGAAGACACTAAAGGGAAGAAAAAACAACAACAGTGCTGGGCTATTCTCTTCAGCTGTGGCCAAGTTGATCAGTCATGCTGTTTTATACCTTGTATGTTATTCTCGATTTCCCAGTTCTGGCCTCTGTACAAATGAATCCAATCTAATCAGCTAATTAGGTCAGAACTCACATTATGTATAATATACAAAAGGGTGCAATGTTGTGGCTTTGTAGTGGCAATTAAAGGTTCAGAGACTGTCAGTTATGGGATAAAACAGCATTTTATTTAGTATTGCAATCAATTATGAAGGTAACCAGGCTACTGCCATCATAAGTGGATTATTCAAAGCTAGATTTGACAGTGTTGTGGTTGTGTAATTCCGTTTACTAAGCAGGGCTCGGATCTGGCATTTTAAACATTGTGACAGCACTCAATCTGTAGCACCCATTCTCAGAGTCCAGATTCATGGTGGGCGTTGGAACAGAAGTGTCAACTGAGAGCGCTTTCATCCCTGGCTGAGTCCTTCCCTGAAATTTCAGTCAGTGTGTTCTGCCTTCCATCAGCATGTACTTTCAAATTGCTTACACTTGGTTGTACTGAGACATACTGTCTGTGTAAAACCTTAAAGTTTGCTTCCTAGACCATACATTGTGACTGTTTAAAGGGATAGTTCGCCCGAAAATGAGAATTCTGTTATTATTTACTGACCCTCATGTCATATTATGTTCTTTTTTCTGTAACAAAAACTATTTTTTATTTTTGGTGAACTATTAAATTAATATTTTAAATTAACACTTTCCCCACCAGCATTTTTTATTTTTTAAGTTGCCAGTCAGCGCCAACGTTTTTGACAATTTTCACAAAAACTGTCATGGCTCCCTGAATATTTAGTTAAATTAATAAGAAAAGAAAGAACAGAGCCTGTGCTGCTTTTAAACAAAAAAAGGAAAAGAAACCATTTTATTTTAGCTTAATGCATTCTTTTTTTTTTTTTTATCCACACTTGAATGTGGGTAAGTTTCATTTAAAAAAGCAACATTTTGCACAAAAACCTGAGAAAATCTCCTTTTTGTCAAAGACTTTATCTGGATCGGATTCAGAACGATGATCCAAACATACAGTAGATCGAGTCCATCAACCCCCCCCCCCCCCCCCCCCAAAGCTTTTACAGTCATATACCTCTTTGTGGGTTCAACATTTAATTCTTTAATGTTGATTTACGTATATGCTGTTGAAGGTTTGATGATCACATTAGCCTACATGTGCTTAAGCAATCTTCTATCGCTTGTTTCTTTTTTCTGCAGCAAAACTGGCAAGTACAACAATAAATAAACAATTTCAATATAAGAAAATGTTAAGTAAAGGTAGTTTAAAAGAAATCTCATCAATGGTTGGGAAAGGGTTAATATAACTTGAAATATAAATATTTCCCATACAGGTATTACCACTGTGCTGACCATGACCACCATCAACACCCACCTGAGAGAAACACTTCCGAAGATCCCATATGTCAAAGCCATAGACATGTATCTGATGGGCTGCTTCGTCTTTGTCTTCTTGGCTCTGCTGGAATATGCTTTCGTCAACTATATTTTCTTTGGACGAGGGCCTCAGATGCAGAAGAAACTGGCTGAGAAAGCTGAGAAAGCCAATAACGACCGCAGCAAGTATGACGGCAACAAGGTAAAAGTCCTTTTTTATCTGTCACGATGCCAGTGTGAAGAATGACTGCTTTGTGTGCTACAGAATTGAGTGTTAGATTTTCTTTGTCTTTTTTTTAAATAAAAGGTTGTGGTATGGTAGTCCTGGGGGAAACAATACAAAGACATGAAACAGGGGGAAAAAACTAGAATGTGATGTTTCTAAGTAACTGTAATAAAGTTTTAGACTTCTTTGAGTTGTACAGTGTTTTTTCCTACTTTGAAAGAAAGTGCAGCATTTTCCAGGTGTCAATTTATTTACTTTATTTATTTAGGTCATTCCCACTCCTGATGAATGTCAGTATTCCTCCTGCAAATGTTTAATTCTGGAATATTGTGTCAGAAATATGGCCACTGACATTTGCGTGTGAAGAGTTACGCAACAACAGCAATGTCCTGAAATATGTGTCATTTTTTCCTTGAATCAAAAGACAAATTCCAGACTCAAGTTGAGATTTTTGAGGTTAAAGCATTTGTGCTGAAACTCAGATGGAGGACAAACTCTTGTTTGTGCTTTTCTGACCAGTCTGTTCAAGAGGGAGGCAACTGCAAGCCATCATCTGTTAAACAGTCCAATCAGGTACAAGGCAACCGTCACTCACGAGGGGTGAGTGTGTGTATTGCTGGCTGTTTTGTCAACATTTGTAAGCTTCGTCCTGAAATCCTCCTAGCAACAGTTTCCCTCTCATTTAGTGCAAAATAGTGTTTCTCAACTGGTGGGTCGTCGGTCAGTTTCAAAGCAGCGAAAAAATAGGCTTATATTAACTTTTAAAGGGGAGGAGAAAATGCTTCCCATATGTTTTATTATTAATGTTCAAGGCTGAGTGTTCAATCAGACTCTATTATATTAATCACTTGGTAGAAGATGGCCAGATTAGATAGATCTATCTTTTTTTACTATTGTCATATACATTTTTACATTATTTTATTTTAAATGTTGCTTATTCAATTCACGTTATTCTAATAAATTACAACATTTGATTGTAGAGACATTTAATTTTGTACTTGATTTCCAATAAGTCTATGTTCTGATTCAAAACTAGTTGAGAACCACTGTTCTTTTGTGCCATCTTGCATTTTTCTTTCTCCATATGTAATGGTGTGATTTCTGGTCCAATTGAAATGTCAGCCAGATTACCATGAAATCTACTTGTCATGTCCTTCATTCAGTTAAACATTCTGGTTCAGTACACACCATCTCATAACACAACTATATACCGTACTCGACTTCTGTTGCTGTTCTCTCATTTGCCCCATCACAAACACTGATCAAGATTATGAAGTGAGCTGTAATGATATTTTTGCAAGATTGTATTTCTGAATTATTTATTACTGCAGAGACTCAGAGGTTGCAGTAAATAAACAATATATCATGGAGGGACCTCCTCTTGAGAAATAACCTGAGCTTGTTGTTCAGCAAAATAGCAATTACTTCTGTCATTTAGCAATGGGAGTTTTTTTTTCTTCTTCTTGTTTCATGCTGTTATTTTAATTAATTAACTAGAGGAAAAAGGTTTAGATTTTTTTCACTCATGACTTGTAAGGACTCATTTCACTCAAACACTTTTGTTACGTGTTCTAGATTTCTTTTCTTTTTCTTTTTTTGTTGTCGTTTACGGTGTTGTTTTCTATTTTTGAAATCAGCTAGAGTGTGTATTGTGGATGTAAATTTGTGTGTTTATTTCATTTTGCTGTGTTCACATGCGGTCTGTGTATGCGGCATTTAATTAACACACTTTTTTTGTTGTTGATAAAAATAGGAATGTGACAAATATATTGCTTTTAGGCTACGTCTATGTTAATCCGTATACATTTGAAAATGCCGTTTTTGTTTCAAAACGCTCTCTGTCCACACTAGCGTTTTCCAAACGTTTCTTAGCCACACTGAAACGTCGGAAAACGCTAAATTCACCTTAATGCGCATGTGTAAAACCTCATAAAAGCTCACTGAGATTATACAAATGGAACAGACATCATAAAGTTCTCATGCTATTCTTCTGGCAGGATCATTTTATTTAGCAAAATATCTCACCATTCACTGATGCATCCAGACACTCACTCACCATTATATATTTGGTCTAAAACGTCTTTGCAGGACTGTGATATGAAGAGTGAACAAAGAAACATATATTTATTAACAGTGTAAAAGTCAATAGCACATAACAGGCACAATAGAGGTATAAACGTACATCTATTGGTTCAAAATACGTCACATGACTAAACATGCGTCATCGTTTACAAATACCTCCGTTTTCACAGTCCAAGCTATCACACGAAATGACATTTTCAAATTTATCCACTTGGGAAAGCGTTTTCAAAAAGCTCAGTTTTGGCCTGACAAAAACGCGTCTCAGTGTGGATGGAAGGCCAAACCAGAGGGGGGGAAATGCGTTTACAAAAAAAAAAAAGGTGGACAAGGCCTTAGACTCCCATATGTCACCTAGGTTACATTAAAGTATCACACCTTATATATGAGAACTTTTCCTTCCTAATATGATTCTTGTAAGGTTAACAACTTGCCCAACTTGTTCTTATTTACACTAGCTCAGATTCAGCTCATTAACAAATCTGCCATTTATAGCCTAAATATGATTTGACATTGATATTGTACAACCTTATACAGAATATTGCTTTTTAAAATGTGTGGCTTGTTTAGAGCATCTCATGGTCATATTGTTATTGCAATGATGCATTAGCATGTTGATGATTTGTAGTACCATTGATTATAAAACGAGTTCTGTTGAATTCTGTATGTTTACTGGAGAACAGCCCTTCAGCAGTAATTCATGTCTGTGTCATGTGTCTATGGCAGTGCTTTACATATGCAGTATACCATTATTATTTTCTTGTGAACATTCCAATGTAGTGGATACATAATGTAACTGACATTATTTGACATGATAAATCATGGCCACATAAATCTAGCTGTCTTTCATTTATGTGCATAGAACTGTTTTGAAGAATATAGCACACTTGACTCTTCGCTAGGCTCTTTCATTCTTTATGTATGTCATGTGAACTCCATTGTAGCTTGTCTAACATGCCTAACTAACCACAAAATCCTCACTTTTCAAAATCCCTTTTCCCTTACATAAAAAAGTATATTGTATTAATCTCAGTTAGTTCATTTCAACATTTACTTTTCTAAATTAAAAGTTGTGTTTGTTAACATTAGTTAATGCACTGTGAACTAACATGAGCAAACAATGAACGGCTGTATTTTTATTAGCTAACATTAACAAATAAAATCTGTAACAAATGTATTGCTCATTGTTAGTTCATGTTAATACATTACATTTACTAGTGTTAACAAATGAGACCTTATTGTAAAGTGTTACTGAAAAATCAAATACGTTTTAAATGGAATAGTTTATTGAACCTATCTATATCATTTCCATATGTGCTTTTGTTGAGTGTCATACTTAATAGTAGGCTTTATAGAGAAAGAAAACCGTGGTAACCAGGATTCTCTCTGCTTGCAGGTGGATTCCCAGGGAAATATCCTTCTGACCACCCTGGAGATCCACAATGAGGTGGCCGGGAACGAGGTCACCACCAGCGTCAGCGAAGCCCGAAACTCCACTTCAATGGTGTTCGATAACTCAGGGATCCAGTATCGCAAACAGAGCACAGCGCGGCCCGAGGGCCGCCACAGCATGGAAAGGAGCACGCAGTCGAAGAAACCGCGGCTACGCAGACGCTCTTCCCAGCTCAAAATCAAAATCCCTGACCTCACAGACGTGAACGCCATCGATCGATGGTCACGGATAATATTTCCCGCTGCTTTCTCTCTTTTCAATTTGATCTACTGGCTGTATTATGTGAATTAGGCCTCAGACGTCAATGGGGTTTTTTTTCCCCATCACAATTTTTTCATGTTGCCAAGTGGAAAATTATCTTCTTCTTTTTTTTCTTTGCTCTGACGCACTTAAGGGACGTACTTCCACGCCACGTAAGCCGAGGTTTTTCTACATTTGAACCCTTGTGATGTTGCGAAGGGTTCCGATGGAATGCTACCTGCACTAAAACGGGCCGTCTCATCATACGCCCCATGCTCACATAAAGTACATATGTACTCAAAAAAAAAAACATTCCCATTCACATACACACAAAATCAGTTTTCTAAAGACCATCTCTGTACATACGTTGCAATTTTTGAAGCCACGGGACTTCCGCATGATGCACTCGGAGCTGTCTTTAATTTGTACATGTTGATATGTTATTACGATTGAGAGATGCTAATTGCAAATGTTTAATGCCAATAAATCTTTATTGTCGGAGCGCAGGTGATTAATATTAAAAGAAGATTATATTGTTGTGGAAATGCAATATAACAAGGTCAAATCACGTCTTCAGTTTCAGAGCTTGCTACGTAAACATCAGCTGTTCTAAACATTGCCGTTATGATCTTATTTAGACGACGTTTGAATATAATCATGTTATGATATGCTTTTGGAACATGATTTCCATCCGCCTTGGGTTGATATGATTATACGCCACTTTTTGCAATCATCATGTAAAGTGCTTCAGTACATGTAAGATAAGATAATAATTGTACACTTATCTCATTTCAAGGATATCAAAAATGAGGACAAAGAACAAAAAAAAACACTGCAAATGTGGAATATTTAAATCAGGGCCTGCAAAGGATTTCCATGATGCCATCATGAATATCAAGCATAAGTAAACAGACAATCCTAGCATTGTGTTTTGCTTCTTTTTTTCTTTTTTTTTAGTAGATGTGTAGCAATTACTGTATGATTTTCAAGTGAGAGTGGGTTTGGGTGTTTTATTCTCCTCCGTTTTTTAAAGAATGCCTGAGTCATTTCCGATATCATTGTAGGCCTTATGTAAACATCGTATGGCCCATTTACAACACATCACTTTATTTTCTTTCCTTTCCGGTTAGGGTTATTTAAGGGTAATTTTATTTAAGGTAAATGGACAAGCTCCTAACGCATTTGAGGGAATTGTATGTTGTCATCAATACACAACTTGTCTCAGGTTCTCTTCCAACATGAAAATGGTCTGTGTTTTTCTGATTGCCAGTATTCACATCATATTTGTTGTGATTCATTTGTATTATATCCTTGTGTACAGCAACAATGATTACATAGCAGATTTAGACAGCATGATATTGTTTGCATTTAGAGATTCTACACTGATTGTATCTGATTTTGTTTTGGCAGATTTCTTTACCATCGGTCATATGCACTTACTCTATTTCAGGGGCCGAAAACTGCTGTCTGGTTAGAGAGTCATGTTGTATACTCATGCTTGCAGACCATCTAAATATATTTATAAATCTCTTTAAAATATCCCGTATGTGCTGTTGACAAGCCATTTCAACAGGTTGCTTTGCAGTTGCATTGTGTCAGTAGATGCTCATAAATTCTTTAATTACTTTTCTTCCCTCTTCTATTGTATGTTGTAAATATATATAACCCACAATCCACATGTGACCCATTTCTTTCTTTCTTTCTTTTTTTTTCTAATATTCACTTTTGAGGTTTTATTCTGTACAGTCCACCTCACAAATGACCAGATCTCTATTTATGAAATGTGTTTAAATGATTAGATAAATGAGGAGTGAATGTCCAGAGGACAATATGAGGAAATGGAATAAATTTTACTCTTTCAAATAATTGGTTTTGCCTTATTTCAAATTATAATGAGGTGTTTTTAATTGTCATTATCAACATCATGCATAATTCGATCTGCTCCATCATTTCAAGTCATTTTGACCTAGAAACACATTTTGAATTGTAAGCACTAAATAAGAAGGAAAATATAATGCTCTTTTTTTCAAATATAGTGTACATATTTAAACAATAGGTTTACGATTTTAGCGATATGCTCTTCTCTAGTGTTAATTTTTCTAGTTATAACTGACGAGCTATACACTAAAAAATTATTATCAATAAGTTATAACAACATATGTTTTTACATTGCTTTAACTCATCAAAATAAGTTGAGAAAGTATCTACTGTTTTATGTTACACAAGATTCAACTCATTTCTTAAAGTCAGTTTATTGCAATTTAAGTTTAAATGACAAACATCCAAGTTGATTGTACTTAAAAATTGAAGGCAGAAACTTTTTACATTGTATGGACATTTGAATGACTTTCCTGAGGTACGTCAGACGATTACTTGTTCACAAGCTTTGTTGACGTTTTTCAGGGTTAAAAACTGATTGGGAGATTACAAAAAGGATAATACATTTCAATAAGTTGTACTCTTACCTTTCAACAAACCTTCATATGTCCATTCTTGGCTTTTTTCATGCTGTAACTAGTAAAGAGGACTAAATGACGGCCACGCGTGATCAGTGATCACTTTTAGAGCGTCTAAACGGCATTTATTGTTTGGGTTTAGGAATGAAATTGAAAACTGAGAAAGTCGCGTTTCTCCACAAACAGCTCATTGCGACTTTTGACTCAAATGCGAGCATCACATTTTAAGTTATAGCTAATTTTTTACGTCATTAAAAACCTTGGTCAATACAGCATTAATTTGTCTTGGGAATGACAGATAGTGTCCTTGAGTCCTTGAGTGTAATAATGAGTCCCCCACAATGGCCACTGGCCAGAGGGATTTTGAGCCATTTCTCTTCCAGAACAGGACAGGTCACTATGTGATGCTGGTGGAGGAAATTATTTTCTGACTTGCTCCTCCAAAATACCCTAAAGTGGCTCAAAAATATTTCGATGACTGTGCAGGCCATGGGAGATGTTCAACTTCACTTTCATGTTCATCAAACCATTCTGTCACAAGTCTTGCTGTGTGTACTGGTGCATTATCATGCTGATACACGCACCTTCTTCTTCAGGGTACAATGTTTGAACCATTAGGCTTCTCCACACCGTAACTATCACGGATATGGAAAAGACAGTGAAGGTGGACTCATCAGAGAACAATACTTGTTTCACATTGTCCACAGCCCAAGATTTACACTGTTGGCGTCAATGAAACTGACATTTGCCATTGGCACAAATGACCAAATGTTTGGCCATAACAGCCTGACCATGAATATTGACTCTGTAGAGCTCTCGACTAACAGTTTTGGTGGAAACAGGAGAGTAAAAGTGCGCATTTAATTCTCCAGTGAGTTTGGTAGCAGTGGTTTTATGATTTTTTGGATTCAATCCGGGTTTGGACATCTCTTTCAGACAACTTCCTCTTGTGTCGACAGTTACTCCTGTTGGATGTGGTTCGTCCTACGCGACGGTATGCTGACATTACCCTGGACACCATAGCTCTCGACACACCACAAAGACTTGCTGTCCCGGTCACAGATGAGCCAGCGAGACGTGCACCAACAATTTGTCCTCTTTTGAACTCTGATATGTCTCCCATTCTGTTGTGTAAATTGCAATATTTTATGTACAGCTGTGCTATTAATTAAACTTTTACACTGTTCTTACTCAGGTAGCGCATAGGTGTGAAACCTCCAACACTATATTGGCCAGCGTTTCGGTTTCATTGTCCAACCCCTGTATATGTATCACAATAATCACAACAGACTTTATCAGGTGTTTTGAGAGGGCATATTGGACAAGCTTGCATCAAGTTTGCAAAACCTGAGCACAACACTCCATCATGCATCCAATTTAATAGTAATGCAAAGGCAGTATGAGGGGAATAATAACTCTGAATACAAACTCCAGCTTATTTTATTGGGTTTGAACAGTGTTATAGAATAGATACAGTTTTTGAGATAAGAACAGCAGGAACTGGTGAAAAAAAAAAGAAAGGAAAGCAAAACAAAATAAAAATCATCATTTTTTTAAACATTTTAGTCAATAAAAACATCCAACTCAATCTTAAATTCCAAAGCAGACGATTGTGCTGTATACCAAAAGCCCTCCCCCATCTGCACTGCTTCTGTCTAGCAGGCTGAGTTTAACATAAAGGGCTACGCATCATAAACATGATTAATGTTACTGGCACATGTGACTGGTGTCATTTAATTTAATATATGTATTAATCAGCAGTGGTGGTGGTGCTGAGATCATATCTTGCCAATGTAGCTGAACAAGTTCTTAACATCAGTCATTTGAAGGACGCAGCGACGAGGAAAGCTCTAGATTGATATTTCTGTTTCATGATTGTTTTAATTTTCCTGACACTATTGGGGAACTACCAATTTGACCTCTATAGACCTCTATCGGTTGCCTCATGTTGCCTTAAAATCACATCACGTATCAAAGTGCCAATTGTCAAACGTCTTTTAGTTTTATTACACACTCTCTGCTAATTGGCAATCAACACAATATGACTCATCTGTGAAAAAGTCTCAAATGCAATTGAATCCAAGTTAAACTTACTTTTCACCTACCTTTTGTATTATTTAATTCACTTTATTTGCAGCATGTCTGTATGTATTACACTTTGAAAAATTAATCCTAACATACATTGTCCTTAATGAAATCTCAGAGCTAGTTTTCATGTTGGATCACTTATGGTTAAAGCACCCTTTTCTGTTGATTGTTTCTATAATGTTGTGGGTTTGTCCATTTTCATTTTCTTGTTTTTTAGTGTGATCATTCATTACTGCAATAAAAATCCAGCCTCTCTGCTTCTGCTGTGAAATGCAGTGGATGGGATATTGGATGGGATACTTACTGCGTAACAAAAGTCAGGTCAGTCTCCATCATTCATTCCTCAAGATACAGCACATTTGTAATTATACCGATTGTATGAACCAACATAGCGACGGAAATCAATACACAACACACACCATACAGACACCATAATGACACTGTGTGGGCATAAAAGGGCATGTTGGTATGTGCACGTGATTTATTACCCTAACTAATTGGAAAAGGGGATGATAACTTCATTTTAGCAGGTATTACTAATTAAAGTCGAAAATGCACTTGTAAGCAGAACAAGTTCTCCTCTAATGAATCCCATGAGTTGGGTCCTAATGGATTTTTAATCTTTTCTCCCCCTGTCACCTAACTAATGGGGATATAAAACAGGATCTTTGAGGTGTATTATTTTATCTTTATCAAAAATAACAGATCAGCATTGGGCAACAGACACTAGGTCATT